CATGAACAGCAGCTGCAGCAGCATGAATAGCAGTAGCAGCAGCAGGAGTAGCAGTAGCAGCAGCAGGAGTAGTAGTAGCAGCACGAGCAGCAAGCAGAAATGCATGCAGATGCGACAGCAACACACGGCAAAAGCCAGCGCAGCAGCAGCATCTGCTTCTGCAGTAGCAGCAGCAGCAGCAGCAACAGCAACAGATGTTGCTGCTGCTGCAGCAGCAGCAGCTGTTGCTGCTGCTGCGAACGAACAGACATTGTTTGTATTTTCCCTGAAAAGGGAAATAACAAATACAAACCGCTTTAGAAAGACAAATACAAATATTTTTATCAAATGCTGCCGTTGCTTCTGTTGTTGCTGCTGCTGCTGCTGCTGCTGCTGCTGCAGCTGTTGCTGCTGCAGCAGCAAATAAAGAAACACGTTTATGGTGTAGGGCTTGCTAGGCGCTTCGTGCCTGAAGCAAGGAGACGGTATACACTAAACCCTCGATTAGGGTTTAGGGTTTAGGGTTTAGGGTTTAGGGTTTAGGAGCTAGGGTTTACACCAAAGAAAATTTCAGTAGGTGGCCCCGAAGCCGCTGCATAGAGCGGCACAACGCTGCGACCCGAGGCAGCCCTGCAGCACAAACGCAAACCCTAAACCCTAAACCCTAAACCCTAAACCCCAAACCCTAAACCCTAAACCCTAAACCCTAGATCTGAATGAGCCGCAGCTGCTCACCTGAAGAGCCGGTCGTACACCGCAAGCCCCTCCTCCCCCCACTCTGTCAGTGGTTCTGCATGCAGCAGCACCACCACCTGCTGCTGCTGCTGCTGCTGCTGCTGCTCCTGCTGCTGCTGCTGCTGCTGCAGTTTGAGGGCTGTCTCTTCTGCAGCGTGGAGAGCAGCGAAAACCTGCCTAGCTGCTTCAGCAGCAGCATCATGAGCAGGAGCAGCAGGGGTCTGTTCCTGCTGCTGCTGCTGCTGCTGCTGCTGCTGCTGCTCTGGGTGTATGAGGGATATATATCGGGCGAAGTGCTTTGCAATCGATTGGAGTTGACCGTTGGCGTCAATAAGAATACAGCGACTCGAACAAAAGTTGCTGCTGCTGCTGCTGCTGCTGTTGCTGCTGCTGCTGCTGTCACTGCTGCTGATGGCTGTTGGATTCAA